GGTCGAGGATTCCTCAACGGCACGTCGAGGATTTTCGCCTGATCAGTTACGCTCTCCCGCGCGGACATTCACACTCGCCATGCGCGAGCCGTCTGAGTTCTCCTGCGCGTACGTTCATTCTCGGCACTAATCTCGCACAGTACAGAGCCTTCTTCTTCTCCCTAGCGTTAGTCCCGCGCAGTCGCAGGGTCCGCTGTCTTTGTCAGCCGTCGCCACTTTGCTCTGTCCAGGGCATCTTCTGCTGTGGCCCTGACTTCAGAGGTCCTTCTTGATACGTCTCTCCACCTCTTCTTTGGGGCTCCTCGCGGTCGCTTGCCTTGCGCTTCGAAGTCCATCGCTGTTCTTATCGGATGATCCTGTGGCCTCCTTAGCACATGCCCATACCATCGCAGACGCTGTTCCCTCACCTTCAGCTGGACAGGGGCAGTCTGCATGACCGCTCTGACATCCTCGTTTCTGACCCTGTCCAGTCGCGTCCAGCCGCAGGCCCATCTCAGCATCCTCATCTCAGCGGAGTGAAGCTGCCTTTCGTGATTCTTGTTCAGGGGCCAGCACTCGCTGCCGTATAGCATCGCAGGCCTTACCACTGTCCGGTACACCTTCCCTTTGAGCGTTCTGGAGCACCTTCGATCGCAGAGGATTCCAGTGGACTCCCTCCATTTCATCCATGCCGCGTTGATTCGTGCCTTCACTGCCTGATCCACACTTCCGTCGGCTGCCAGATCGCTCCCAAGGTATCGGAAGTCCTCCACTCTTTCGATGTCTCACCATGGCCGTCCACGATCGGCTCTGCACCCTCTTCAGAGCTCAGGAACTTGGTCTTCTTGACATTCAGCCGGAGCCCGCCTTCTGCCAGGACTTTCTGCCATTTCTGCACCTTGGCCTGTAGTTCTCTCTGCTATCCGCTATCAGGGCGATGTCGTCAGCGTAGAGGATGGTCTTCAGTGGTCCTTCCATGAGGCCCTTCACCATGACATCTAGTGTTAGGAACAGGAAGGGGCTCAGAGCTGATCCTTGATGCACCCCAACCGTGACGTCTCCTTTGTCAGGCCGTGCGGGGTGTGAGGCAAAAGTTTTGCCCACGGCTCAACATTCTTGTGATAACTTTCGCAACGGCGTAAAACAATAGTCATCCAATAAAAATAGGTCAGAAAAATATCTGGTAATGTTTCAGCTCCTACCCAATTCTTCTTCTCTCTCAGTTATTTATTGGATTCGGAGCCGCTCCCCTCTTCACATACGGCTACAGTACCATTGACGAGTTCGATTCACACAAGAGAACCGGAAATAATATGGGTGAGTGGAAGTCCAATTGCTTGAGGCCTCAGTTTTACTAGAGCTTCATTCGAAATTCAGGTGATGGGTAGGCATTGATGTTTGGCGCACACATGATTAAGTGGTTGCTTTAACATATTTATTAACGAAAATATCTTATCAATCTAGTTTTTGGGACTCAGGTGTGGCATCTTCACTTCTGGGGTTAGAAGTTTTAACACAAAAACTACGAGTTCTTCAGCTTCCTTGACAGCTAGATAGAAGAAATGGCCCTCAGGAAACCCGTATCGAGTCGAATATAATTCCAAGAAGCGTGTTTTCTCACGCTCATTCCCCGCAAGCAGTGGAACAGCAGCAGCAGCTCGTGGAGAGCAAGTTCCAAGGAAATGGAGTGGAGGGAGCAGAGTTGAACAGGAGCAAGGCGGGGGTGAAGGGTCAGCTTCTTTAGT